GGCGGGGGGGGGGGCTCTACAACTGGCTGCTTCTTGTTCCTTGTGGCCCGACTGAGGGCTGCTGGGAGCAGGGGGTGGGGCATGTGCCCACCCCCTGGGCTCCTTACTGCCGGAGCTCCGCTCCTGTGCGCTCCCGCAGGAACTGACCCCTGCCACCACCTATATGTCATATCTGAGAAAATCTGTTTCAGTGTATCTAAAGGAGTGTGCATCTACACATGCCAAGTCTCTCCGTTCTCGCTTATACCCAGAATTGAACTCTGTTGAATTTGTTGCTCTTGAAGGTGCCACTGGAGTCAAAACTTGATCCTTGTATCTGTTAACTCTTGTGTTTGTGTGCTAATTCACTGCCATTCACAGATCTTAACAACCGCCTTAATCCAGTCTCAGCTATAATTGCCCAGTTATTTATGCATCTTGACTCTAACTAGCCCCTCCTGGCAATTAAACCTCCCCTATACGTATTCATCACCTAGATGTGATGGTTGAGTACATTCTGTTTCAGTCTGTATCTGAGGAATTGTGCTCACACATGAAAACTTGTCTGTTTGTTTGATCGATGTATATACCGCCCTCCTCACGGACGGGCTCTGGGCGGCTCACAACCGCCTTGATACAATACCATTAAAACAATAATTAAAATAACAATTAAAACAGTAAAACCCTGATGTACCGTGCAACAACTAATTCTGATCAGCACTACTGATATTAAGATCCAGGCCACCGATGTCAATTCAGCAGTACCGATGTAAAGATCCAGGCTGATGAGGGGGAGAAAGCCAGGAGAGGAAAGGGACGTCCGCCACCTCAACCAAAGGTGAGGTGCAGGGGGCGGGGCACATGATGAAGCCCCACCCCCTGCTTCCGGCCACCCCGCTTCTGGCCCTCATTCAGCCAGGAGGAGGCAGGAGAAGAGGGAGGGTAAGTTGCTTCCTTCCTGCCTCTCCCCACCCCTGCCTGCCTGGGGCCAGGGAGGGCCTTGGCGGGGCTTCCTCGCACTCCCACCGGCCTTGCAGGTCCACCGCCGGGCCTTATGATGTCAGGGGGTGTGGCATATGCTAATGAGTTATGCTAATGAGTTCCCTTAGCTCTTTTTCTACGAAACTACCCCTGGCTAGAAGATGTTGATTCATAGACCTCAGTGTTTTCCGGGGCTCATATGGGAAGAGGCGGTCCAGAAGGTATGCTGGCCCCTGGTCGTATAGGGCTTTAAAGGTAAGCACTAGCTGTGACTTCCGGAGCAGGATCAAGGGCAGCCCCGTGTAGAGAGAGTTATAGTAGTCCAGTCTGGAAGTGACCATTGCATGGGTCACTGTAGCTAGGATTCGTGGGGTGAGATAAGGGGCCAACTGCCTGATCTGCCAACTGCCTTGAAGAAAACTTTGTTGGTCTTAAAGGTGCCACTGGCCTCAAACTTTGTTCTGCTATTCTTGCTGAGTTTGTAATCTAGTTGAGAGAGCAAGGACTTTTCAAGTGTCAATGAACTCTGCTGCCGCTCAGGGGCCCTGGGCTGGATGGGAAGTCGTGGGGCCCTGCCGGTAAATCATTTGCACTTGTGTTGATTATCTCCTTTTTAGGTAAGAACCAATCAGTTTTCTAGATAACAATCACATGATTACGATAGAACAGATTTTGTAAAAGATAAGGCTGATTTTTCCCCACTATAAATATGTGCTCTTGTGACAAGCAATTCAGATTTCTTTAGGTAGAAGAAGACTCGCTGAGGTTTCTGGCTGTTTGGGACTTGGGCTTTTAGATCATCCCTAAAAGAGGGGAGCCGAAACCTGAATTACTTTTTAGACTATTGCTCGATATGTTTACGATTAAGCGATGCTCGGAACTTTGATCATTTTAGCATTCATCTTCACATTTGCTTGTATTTTCCCCCCTGTCTTGTTTAATAAAGAGAGCAATTCCTTTCCTCAATAAAAGATAAAAGGTTTCTAAGGGTGTTCTGTCTGGTTTGCCAGTTACAGTTTGACATGGAAATTTTTGAGGGTTCCAGTAAGCGTTCGTGAGTCACTGCTCACTTCAACTCATGAAAGCTCTTCCCCCTGCCACAAATTTTGTGAGCCTTTAATGTGCTACTGGACTCTGGCTCTTTTCTACCGCTAGGAGAAAGAGGAGGCCTGCATAGCTCAAAAGCTCACTCGAAGAAGAAGAAGAAGAGGAGGAGGAGGAGGAGGAGGAGGAGACTGGATTTATACCCCGCCCTTCACTACCCGAAGGTGTCTCAGAGCGGCTAACAAACTCCTTTCCCTTCCCCTCCCCACAACAGACACCCTGTGAGGTAGGTGGGGCTGAGAGAGCTCTTAACAGAAACTGCTCTTTTTCAAGAACAGCTCTTATCAGAACTAGGGCTTTCCCCAGGTCATCCAGCAGGTGCAAGTGGAGGAGTGGGGAATCAAACCCGGCTCTCCCAGATTAGAGTCCGCACACTTCACCACTACACCAAACTGGCTCTCATTACACCAAACAGTTGACTATAACAAAAGTAATAATTCCTTTTCTTTTTATTATTTTATTTACAGTTTTCCAAAGTATACAGACATTTATCTTTCGTTATCTTACAGTTAGGGGGTTAACTTGACATCTTTTCTTCATACCATTTTATGGCGTTATGCCATTTCTGTTTAAATTGTTCATCTGATTTACCTGCCAAAAACATATTCAGCTTATCCATTTCAATTACCTCGAATAGATTGCTAAACAAATCTGCCTTACTCGGTATATTATCAGATTTCCAATTCCTTGCGATATGTATTCTTGCCATTGTGATTACATACACAATAATACATTTTTCATTATATTTAAGTCCTTCAGGTATTATGTTTAACAAAAAGATTTCAGGTGTACTAGCTAGCTCTTTTCCTATAATTTCTCTCAGCATCTGTTTAATACCTTTCCAAAAGCTTTGAATTTTCTCACATTTCCACCATATGTGGAGATAGGTTCCTATATTCTTGTTACACCTCCAGCAATTCCCTGAGACGCCCGTATAACATTTTTGGAGTCTATCTGGCGTCCAGTGCCATCTATATATCATTTTTATTATATTTTCTTTATATGATGTTGCTCTCAACATCTTGATTGACTTCCATGTTTTTTCCCAATCTTTCCTCTCTATGTTGTTCCTCTCTATGTATAACCCAAAGCAGCTTTGAAAGGGGTCACACCAGTCAGTTTGTTGATAGTTAGTAAAGCAGAGCAAGTATTGTTCAAGGGTTTGATTAACTTGTTCTGTTTGTCCGTCGGTTTCGGGGTGGTAAGCGCTGCTGAGGCCCTGCTCCACCCCCATAACATTCACCAATTCCCTCCAGAATTTTGAAACAAATTGCGTGCCTCTGTCGGAAATCACCTTAGCAGGTAAAAGATGAAGGCGCACGATGTGGTGAAGGAACAACTTAGCCAGTTTGTGAGCAGTAGGGAGGGAAGTGAGAGGAACAAAATGACTTTGTTTGGAAAACAAATCAACCACCACCCAAATAACAGTTTTCCCCTTGCTAGGAGGCAAATCTGTGATAAAGTCCATAGAAACAACTTCCCAAGGCCTGTTAGGGGTGGGATGGGGTTGCAGAAGGCCAGGGGTCCCCCCCCCCCCGGTTTTGACAGGGCACAGGTTTGACAAGTGCGGACGAAGTCCAAGAGATCTTTGCGCATGTGTGGCCACCAAAATTGACGCCGCAGCAGTTGAAGGGACTTCACAAAGCCCCAATGTCCTGCCAACTTAGATCCGTGGGCGAGTTGCAGGACCTCCCTGCGGAGAGAAATAGGTACATACAGTCTATTATCAGAGTAAACAAAGCCGTCAGGGCTGCGGACATAGTTATGTAAAGTCGAAAGGACCTCCTCATCCTCTGAGGAGAACTCCGCCCTGTAGCGGCCCCCCCAATCAGTCACCGGAGGGGAAGGAGGAGGAGACACAGGGGAGGAGCCTGGCGTGGGAAGTTTGCGTGCTTGAGCCCTCATTACAACAGCCCCCCCCAACTGGGCGGGAGTAAAGACAGAGTCAATGATGAGGTCATGCTGGCTCTCATGTTGCGGGAGGTGGGACAGCGCATCAGCCAGCGAGTTGGAAGAACCCGGGAAATGATGCAACATGAACTTGAATTTGGAGAAGAAATCAGCCCATCGTAGTTGTTTGGCATTGAGAGATCGGGGAGATTTTAGGGTCTCAAGGTTCTTGTGATCAGTCCAAACTTCAAATGGAACTCTAGCCCCCTCAAGCCAATGGCGCCAAGTGGAAAGGGCCAGGCGAATCGCTGACGCTTCCTTCTCCCAGATACACCAGTGGCGTTCAGCGTCCAAAAACTTTTTAGAAACATAGGCTAAGGGGTGTAATTGCCCATCCTCCCTCCTTTGCAGAATTGCCGCCCCCATAGCAACATCTGAAGCATCAGTTTGCACAACGAACATTTTAGACTCATCAGGGTGAGCCAAGATAGGTTCAGAAGTGAACATGAGTTTCAGTTTGTTAAAAGCAGATTCACATTCCGGAGACCATTTCAACGGAGCCCCGGGTTTCGTGGCATCAAAACCCCTTCCCTTAGTTTTCAATAAGTCAGTGAGGGGCAAGGCAATTTGGGCAAAACCCTTGATAAAGGATCTGTAAAAATTGGAAAATCCTAAGAATGCTTGGAGTTGCCGACGGGTTTTGGGGGGTTCCCAATCAACCACATCTTTGACTTTGCCCGGATCCATTTCCAAACCCCCACCTGAGATTCGGTAGCCCAAAAAGTCAATGTGGGTTTGGTGAAATTCACATTTAGACAGTTTAGCAAAGAGTTTGTGCTTATGCAATGTTTTTAGGACTTTTCTGACCAATTTGATATGAGAGGGGAGGTCTTGAGACAGTTTAAAAATGTCGTCCAAGTAAATAATCACTCCTTTGAACAAAAAATCATGGAGAACTTCATTAATGAGGTTCATGAAGACCCCAGGAGCCCCTTGAAGGCCGAAGGGCATTACTAAGTACTCAAATTGTCCCAATGGGATATTGAACGCAGTCTTCCCTTCATCGCCCTCCCCGATCCGCACCCGGAAATAGGCATCACGCAAATCAAGTTTAGAGAAGATCTTTCCTTTAGTCGCCTCCGCCACTATAATCAAGGGAAGGGGATAAGCGTTTGTGGTAGACACAGCGTTCAACCCTCACTAATCCGTGCACAAACGGAGCCCCCCATCCTTCTTTTTCCGGAACAACACAGGTGCAGCAAACGGAGAGGAGGCGGGGCGGATGAAGCTGCGGGCAAGGTTTTTATCAATGAACTTACGTAGCTCCGCTTTTTCCGCTGGGCCCATGGCGTAAATTTTTCCATTAGGTAATTTGCACCCAGGCAAGAGTTAAATGCTGCAATCAGTATTACGATGGGGGGGCAGCTCGTCCGTCTCCTCTTCTCCAAAAACCTGAGCCAAGTCCCGATACTCTGGTGGGAGGGACGCCAGGTCTTCCGGAGACAGGGCTGCACAAGGGAAAGTGAGCGATGGCGGGGGCCCCCAAGCATCCTCCCAACGATGCGTGCAACATTTTGGGGATACAAAGTCAATCCTGCCCTCCTCCCAGAGTACATAGGGGTCGTGAGAAAAAAGCCATGGGGCTCCCAGTACCAGGGCAAATTGCGACTTAAGAACATAAGAACATAAGAGACGCCAATGTTGGATCAGGCCAAAGGCCCATCCAGTCCAACATTCTGTGTCACACAGTGGCCAGAAATACCAGTGCCATCAGGAGGTCCAGCAGTGGGGCCAGGACATTAGAAGCCCTCCCACTGTTGACCCCCCCCCAAGCACCAAGAAGACAGAGCATCACTTGCCCCAGAGCCCCTAGCTATACCTTGTGGCTAATAGCCACTGATGGACCTCTGCTCCATATGCTTATCTAATTCCCTTTTGAAGCCGTCCATGCTTGTAGCACCCACCACTTCCTGTGGCAGTGAATTCCATGTGTAGTGACTTGGGAGTCACTACAAAAGTCCTCTGTTCCCAATGTTCCCCCGCACCTAATCTAAGCGGCATAGTCTCGTGTATACACGGGTCCATGGGTGTCCCATCCATTTGAGTAAAAATGATGGGAGACTTCAGTCGTTTGATGCCCGCTTCCAATCCAGATACCACATTAGGGTTAATCAAGTCTCTCCCACACCCCGAGTCTATGAGCGCTTTCACACGCACATGTGTCCCCATGATTGGGTTAATTAAAGAAACAGTAACGAAAAACAAAGAGGGGGGTTCTCTCACCACGATAGGCGCCTCCGAAGTTAAGCCCTGCTGTTTCGCGCCCTTCACAGCAGGACGTTCTCGTTTCCCGACAGTTCTGGGTCTGATTCAGCCGAATCCTCCAGTGGTTCTTCCGTTGCTGCTTGCAGAGCCGTGGAAAACTTTGGTTTGGCAACTCCTTTTTTCTGTTGAAGAGTTGGTTTCCCTTTGGGAGTTGGAGGCTTGTCTTTTTTTATGCTCGTGCCACAATCTGCCGCGAAATGGCCCCGTTCTCCGCATTTTAGGCACAACCCCATCTTCACCCGCAATTCTCTGGCCGCGTCCGACAGTTGCGCCGTTTTCGGTCTCGGGGCTGGGGTTTGGGTTCCCTTCCCCCTGCTTGCT